CAAACTCAAAAGAAGATGGCGCTCGACGCGCACGTCCACTTTCATGTGGCTTCTCTGTAAGGTAGACAGTGAGGAAAGTTTCGTGTGCCACTGCACCCATTGCTCAAAGAGCTCCTCATCATATGTAGCGGTTTTGCTAGTGGCGAGAACCACAGGTATAGCCCACATTGCGGGTACAGAAGCGCCTCCTCTTTGAGCTCACAGTCGAGAGCGGAACCGATTGATTTGGATCTCTGGGGTACCAAGATGCGAGCTCGGAGAGCTTTCCGCTGGTCAAGTTCAGCTTGTGCGGTGGCCGGGGACCCGACTACGTAGACACCTAACGATCGCGTGGTCTCGACTTTTGCTTCAGTAGGGGGATCCGCCGAATGAAAGCCGTACCCCCCACAATGTTTTAGACCGAACGTGGATACGAGCGCATGAGAGCCGCCCTATGGGCAGCCTCCATGGGCAGCCTCCAATTTCTGCTCCTGTGCCTCGTCGAGGCGATTGGTAATAATATCACTTCTTCCGGAAGTCGAGAGGTCGGGGAATGTTCACGGTGTCCGCAAGGTTCGAAATGGGCTCACGTCGCACCTTTGGCGCACATAATCCCCCTCGTCCTCCCATGCTGGGTTAGGTGTATCCGACTCGTAGTCGACTTCCCCAAACTTCTCGACAATAAAATCCGTAGCCCGGGGCGGGCGCGGTGTGTGGCGCTCGGTTGCCAAGGGCTTGGTACATACTTCCCGGAAGCCGTGGACGTTCTGTCCGGAGATGCATTCCGTGCAGAAAAAGAGAAGGGCTTTGCCCGCGGGCGCCGCCAAATCCAGCTAGGCTGGAAGGTTCGCGTATCATAGACACAAGGCTCAATGAGCGGAGAATTTGAAGGATGTTTTTAAGGGCGTAACGGTGTCTTAGACACGCAAGTCTCGTATGAGGCGACAATTATATGTAAATTGTGGTATTTCACAATTTCGATGGGGGAGAGTGCAACGGGTTACACGTATTCTTGTATGTAAAAGCGGGTCACACACGATGGTGTGACCGTACATAGGTGTGGATTGCACAAGTCGGTGTAATCATACAATGGTGTGGCAACTCCGTCACAAGAAACCACTACGTGGCAGGACTGCTAGTAGTATCTCACATTGGTTAGGTTCTACTACATTAAGTAGGTACTACTCTATTAATTAGGAACCCCTAAAGTTCTAGATATTGGCGGCTCTGCCGCAACTAAAACAATTAAATACAGTTTCAATTTTGAGCAGAAAAGCGGCTTCACCTTAGTCAAGGTCTTAAGTACTCTTGAAGGTAGCGGGTTGCTATCCGCTACACACGTACTTGTTCTGGTTAGGAACGTAAGATCGGTGACCTTAGTTTAGACATCTCTAAGTAAAGAGCTACCGAAGCCCCGTTGCACATGCAGACTTATGTTCGGATCGGACCCAAACCGAAACTATCAAAGTGAGCCGACGCGCCACCACTACTAAGAAATCAACAGGACTCAGTCGCGAGCATGAAATTGCCCACTTTCATGTATCTGGCGAGAAAAAAGAAGCCTACTTTCATATAAGACTTATAGTAGACCTGCGATTTTACCTGGGATGTATTGATTAGGTGGCAGGGTTTTACGCACTCCGAGAGCTTATGGGGGCGTAAAAGGATCGAATTCTTGAAGTTTTGTCGCTGACGTTGATCTGTCTGGTTTCAGGAGAAACGACAGGGTTGCCCAGCTTAACGCGAGATCCAGCCTTCTTCGATGTTTATTCCTGACTGTAACGATTTTACCGTATCGCATTCACTACAAGTATACTAAAAGTCTAGAGCTAAGTGCACGAAATTGCACTACTTGACCTTTTCAAGAATGACGCGGAACTTATAGAAGTTCTCGCTTACGTTAGACCCTGCGCATAGGTGCTGCTTTCCTGCTTCCCTAAATCCTCTGTATTGATTCACTCAGCTCTCTGCAAATACTGTGCGTAATGTTCAGATCATACTCACAAGGGAGTTTGCCCGATGCACCAGATTATATGGCTGTACGAATCCGCTAGAGAGCACTTTGAAATAATTCGTGAAGTGCTTCCGTGACTTGCCAAGTCTTGCCGAATGCCTCAGCCTTCACCCAGTGAAATACGGCCTAGCCGTATCTCAATAAGGACGCGCTAACTGCACATATTGCAGTTGTGGTGATGCAACAAGTCAATTAATATCGGCAACCACTTCCCACCAAGACCTGAGGCACTATGTGGTGAAGCCAAAGGTACCCGCGGGACAATTAAACTATTCATGTAAACTGGGTAAAGACTGTAGAGACATGAACTGCGTATTTTGTACATAAACTTATTAAGTGAGAGTACTTCGCTCCTGGATCACGGTCTATCCGCGCAAGTACACCCGATGACATTATCCGTAACGCATTCGACGCGCTCCATATGACAATATATTGCGAATGGTTAGTAGTTGATATTTAATCTAGCGCCGAGTCGCTTGACAATGTTTGACAGAACTTATCTTTAAGCGAAGATCTTCATCCTCTGTATCGGCTACCTTCAAGCTGTTCTGGGGAGATATTGTGCCGAGGAGCGGTCTGACTGTAACTTCCCTAGTCATATAATCGCTGACAGCATGGTGATAAAAAATTTGCCCAGACGTTCCGGAAAACAAAATACTCAATATTAGTGTTACCAAGCGCATCTTTGGAAAGCCCGAAAATAAAAATCACACCCGCGGACTGCCAGAAGTCTCTCGCTCCGGCTGACTATTTAAAAGTATCGCCTCTAGCGTCAAATATCTTGCCTGACGACACATTTTGCGAGCGCGAATTGCACGCAAGCACTTCAAAGTTCTCAAATGCAAAAGTTAGGCCGTTCGGTTGCTACAGCGCCATTGACGGGGAAAAATCAGGCGATCATTATACAAGCAGCACATGCTTATATGCCTACCCACTTATCATGTTGGATTACCCATACACAGTGCTCTGAAGCAGAATTTTTTTACCTGTCCGAGGTAGCTACACAAAGCGGTATCAGGTACCTCGAATATTTTGAAGTCTATACGATGATTTACAATCCTGCGTTAAGTATCGAGTAAGTTCGCGCGCTGTAGCGCAGCAAGAATCGAGATACGAAATAAATTTGCAAACAAACGCTTCCATGAAGTGAAATTTGAGCTCTCTAATGCCTTCTTCTCCATAGATCTTAGCAAAGGAGCATATTTTGCAAATGACCTATACGCTGTCGGTATCGTCCCATCGATGGGTCCATCATCATTCAGACATTCAATAATACATCTCAGAACGACGCGGAAGAACATCCACCACAACATGAAGCCGAGACAGCCTTACCTCAAAGGTATTATTGGCAAAAATAGAATGACGCACTCGGCGTCTTGCGGGAAAATCGGATGAAGCTTCGCTGCGCACAGCGAGGCTTCATCCGTATAGACAACAAGCTGTTTAGAGCCAAGCAGGTGCACCCTAAAATTGACCAAAGCACAAATCATGTTGAGTCGTTCAAAATCATACCGGATATTTCTTCTTTGCTGCTTGAAGTTGGCGAGACTCGAAGGCGGTCACGCAATTCAGCCCGTTGTCATCTGCTTGGTCTAGAACTATAGTCTATAGCAAGGGCAAAATAATCCAAACGACATGGAATTGCCAATCTGAATTTAGCCGGGTCGAGCCCATTCCTTAGACGCTTTTATGGTAGAGATCTGGTCGATTTAGCGCAGCGTTTAATATTTGCAAAAATTTACGCAGGCTATGCCTCCCAAACACGAAGGGAGATTCGTCGGCGCCGAATCAAACTCTTCTTTTTGGCGTATAAGTTATTTACGCACTTAATGATAATTACTGCTGGCAAATGTTCAACAAAGCCATTTTACATCAAACGTTTGTGCTCTTCAACGTAATGGAAAAAAAGCTTTGAAATAGAATTGTGTTTGGGCTTGATGTACCCAAATAGCTGCGTCCTTATCGATTGAGCGTCACTAGCAAATGACAGATTTTCTGCGTCCTACAAGCTACATCTAGAGCATACCGTTAGGAATTCTTCACGCAGTAAGAGGGATATCGCTTTTTTCACCAAATGTTGATAACAACCATCAACTAGCGCGAGGGCACTGATGGGTACGGCAAATTTTTCTGCAGCGCATTCTATCCAGAAATCGGCATTTATATAGAAATCGAGGCTGTAACGGGGTTACACGTACTCTGAAATGAAGGGGTGGGTCACACAAGATGGTATGAACATACAATGGTGTGGGTACACTGTAACAAGAAGTCACTACAAGGCAGGACTGCCAGTAGTTCTGCATTTTTAATTGTCAAAAATCCAATGGTTCAGCTACAGGCGGCTCTGCCGCAAAAAAAACAGATAAATACAGTTTCGATTTCGAACAAAAGGGTGTATTTGCGTTTAGTTTTGGAGAAAGCAAATTGCAATCCGCTACACTCATACTGTTCTATCAT